CCCGCCCCACTCGGTTCCGGCTGCAATGCCTGTCAAGCTTTCCACTCTAGCATGTTACATATGCAATTAACAGTTTACTGCTCTAAATTCAAATAATGTTTGAGACATTCGGTCAGTTAATTAAGAGGTAGACAGAAACAGTATGCTGGCCTCGTGGTTGAAGCAGTTTTTCCAGCTAGCAAAACAACCAATGCCCAAAAAGACTCTTTGGCTGAGGGGGGTTGCACTGTCAGTGAAAGGGTATGGCCTTTGATAGCTTCAGTGTGTAACCCGCAGCACTGGCCACGTGATTCTCTACACAACCAAAAGTGAAACTCTACGCTAAAATCATATTTTCACTTTGTGTCACTAGGTGTATTTTATCCTGCAGAACATGGAATAAATGAATTTAGGACATACAGGGGCCATGACAAGAAGCTTCTTATTTCTAGAGGGTGAGGGACCATTTTGACAGCTGAAATAACATCTGTCAGGAGCAGATTTCATTCAGCATAAGCCGTTGGTAGTAGGTACCTTTTTGTGGGGGAGGACACGCAGCAAAAGGCCCGTAGGTCGGAGTCGAACCCACGGCATGGGGCACCAGCTCGACCAGGTGAGCTATCAGTGCGCCCCATAGGTGACTTTTTAATGTTTCTATGTGACTCACTTTAAAACAAGAAACATGGAACATGGTCTAAATACCGGAGCCAAAGCTACAGGTCCCAGAAAAAGTTTGGTCACTAATTTGAGTGACCAAAAATAAAAGAATAAATATTTAACTGTAAATGTTTGGTCAATGCAGAGTAGGGATGGGCATTCGATTAAATTGTCTTAGTCGATCGTCAGGAGAATTAACGATCGATTTTCGATTAATCATTAGGCTAATATTTTTATATTAAAATTCACTATTTATATGCTTTATTCAAAATGCAACGAAAATACAAAAACACAGCGTGTTTTCCTCATTGAGATCTTTATTACAAGATGAACAACTCTTGTGGCAGTTAAACCGGATCCGCTCAATGGTTACACTTGATATGCGCTACAGCTAGAAGCCGGTGCTCATAAACACAACTGACCCTCGTTTTTTCCTAAAATAATAATAATAATAATAATATAAAAAAAACAATCATGTTATAACTTAACCAAAAATATATAATACTTAGTTCGGACAGGTTTTGCCAGATGTAACTCAAAACTATCAAAAAATGCACCGAGTCGAGAAAGAGGGAACAATGAATTAGGCTTATTAACAAAGCTTCAGTAATAAAATAACCAGTAACTCACGTACAACTTCAGCACCAGTCTACTGATTTTTGTTGAGAAAGATGAGCATGTTAACATGCACTGGGGTCAGACGCGACCGCAGCCGGGTGACCGTCAGTCCTGCCGCCGAAAACACCCGCTCTGAGGGGACCGACGTTGCCGTGATGCACAGGTACCTCCGTGCTAACTTAGCAAGCGGAGACCTGGGACTGAGGGGTCGCGACTCCAGTGTTTGCGTTACCCTCGTCCGTGTCAGACAACGCAGACTCCTCGTCTCCCCCAGCCTCTGGGATAGCCACCCTACCGATCTCCACTGCCTCACCCAGTTCAACCAGTTTCACATTAGCAGCTATTTTCTGTTTTGGGGTAAGAAAGCCCAGGTGCTTGTGACGAGGGTCCAGCATTGATGAGATCATGGGGGCGGATGAAACAAACTCATCAGACTGAACCTGTAAATATATGATGAAAAAAAATGCTATATCTAAATAGGCAACACAACGCAGATAAGAGACAAGTATGCATGTAATTAGGCCTACCCAAATATGCTATTTATTATGGAAATCTTCTAAACTAAGATAAAAAAAAAGTTTAGCTTACATTCATTCGCTTGATGAGGGAGGACCGCACCTTTGCTTTGAATTCGATGAGCCTGGGCCCATCTTCTTCACTGCGCATGAGGTGGATATTGATGAGGCCGAAGGTAACGGGATAAGTGTTCGAGATGGAGACGTCTTTCTCTGCAGACATAACCATGGTGGCACATTTAAGTGCTGACAGCACAGGCTGTGTCCTCCATCATCTGCCAGTACTCATCCTTCAACTCCAGGATTCTGGCATCTTGAAGCTTAGTCACGGTTCGGTCCGAAAGCACAGCAGCAACAGCCCACCGCTGCTCCACCAGCCGATCAAACATCTCGCACACAGAGTTCCACCGTGTTTTACACGACTGGATAAGCCGGTGAGTTGCGAGGCCCATTTGCTCCTGTTTCTTTTGCAGTGCATTGGTTGCTGCGGTGCTGTGATTGAAGTGGCTAACAAGTTTACTAGCCGCTGATATTACCCGATGTAGATACGGTTCAAATCCGTCAGTTATGGCCAACTGGAGTGTGTGTGCAAAGCAGGCAACGGAAATCCAGTTCACCCTGGTGGGACTGTTGGCAGCAACAATATTGGCCGCGTTGTCATGAACGCATGCAATAACTCGGTCTTCAAGTCCCTATTGCTCTACAGCTTCATTCATTTTCTCAGCAAGGTTGTCAGCTGTATGCCGGCCTGGCAGGCTTTCTGTGAGCAGGACCGCTGAGTTCATTTGCCAGTCATCACTGATGTAGTGGCAGGTGATGGTGATGTAGCTCTCAGCTGGTAAAGCGGTCCAGCAGTCTGTGGTTAGAGCAACTCTTTCAGTTGTGCTCAATTCTTTTAACAGCTCTTGCTTCCGTTCTTCATAATGAGTTTCTATCAGTCTGGTGATGGTACGTCGTGACGGAATGTGATATGCTGGTTCCAATAAGTTTATCAGTTTTCGAAAACCTTCGCCCTCAACAATACTTAAGGGCAGCATATCCATCTCAATGAACTTGCAGATCCCTTGGGTAATTTTCTCTGCTCGTTGTGCATCGCAGCTCCTCCGTGTCCGTGCTAACATCGAGTCGATGCTAAGTTGAGACTGAGAGCAGGCTGCACCGCCACTAACCAGGGTCGGATGCGCGTTGTTCAAGTGGTACATCATTTGAGTCGTGGCCGTGTTGTACTTATACACAGCTTCGCAGTGTTGGCAGTGAACTAAGTCATTGTTTAAATCAAAATGGTCCCACACCACACTTCGCCGTGGCCTCGTCCTCTTCATGATGACTTTTGAAATACACAGAAACTGAGTAGGCCTGTGGTGGTTTTAATATTGCCCCCGTGTGGTAAAATGTTTAATTGCTGCCACATAGCGAAATTCATTGCATTGCTCAAGACTCACACTACGCAACAGACCCTGCATTAGTTTTATCGATGAAAAATTAACGTCATCGACAAAATTCTTAATGATCAATTAATCGATCGTCGATAAATCATGCCCATCCCTAATGCAGAGAGGATCAAATCTCTTCACTGACAAAAAACTACATACAGACAAACCATTAATGCTCTTTTTAATGCTCTTGTACATATTTTTCTTCCTCACTTATCATCATGGTGCGAACATAGTCATCAACAGCACAAAGCGTCACTATGGCAACAGCACTTTGCTCTTTGCTTTAAAGCCTAATTTCCATCAATAAGGTGAAAATAACAATGAAGCTTGTCATTATCTGTCTGTGCGTGTGTGCCCTGAATTTAACAGAAGATCTAGCGGCTATCTGCCCCCAGGAGACATTCACAACACAACCTCTTATGCTGGCAGCATTCCTGTACAAGATCACGAGTAAAGTCCCCTCTGCACAACAACTCTCTTGTACTTGACCAAGACCTTGAGCCAGAAATATACTCCACACAATCACAAGAGAGGTTCTGGTCCAATGTACAAAATGCTACAAAGGACACTCCTGTGGAGCTATGTTTTCCAGTACAGCAGCGACGTGTCGGGGTTAAAACAGATGGCCAGGGTTCTGGAAGGAAATGTAGCATTCATTTTTTCCACAGACAATGTTATGTCTTTAGCTGAGAATTCCACCATTTGGGAAAAACATTTTTACACCATTACATTCTTAGAGCACAAATGTATTGACTCCTATTAAAATACAAAGATGCGCAAAGGTGTCCAATCTCAGAACACACTTTAAGGGAAATGCCACAAAATCATGCATGTAACAAACTACATTATCTGTAGCTGCTACATCTGGAGCCTGGTTCTAGCTCACAAAGCTGCAAAATTGTTGGAGAGATAGAGATGCGGGAAATAAAAGGTACACTGTGTGTGTGCATATGTATAGCTGGCACAGAGTGTGTGTGCTCTCATTGTACATGCACTGAAAGTGTCTTTGCATTTTTCTTGGTGTGTGTGTGTGTGTGTGTGTGTGTGTGTGTGTGTGTGTGTGTGTGTGTGTTACAGTAACAGTGACCCAGTCTGAATGGCCATAAGATGTATCAACAGGGCAGTTACATTTCTTGGACAAAAACGCCCCAGATAATAATAACAACTCAATGTGTGTGACTGTGTGTGTTCGAGTATGACGACTCTGCATATCTCTTCCTCCTTCTGATAAAATCTCTCTCTCTCTTTCTTCACCTGTTCCTCTTTCTTAATCGAACACTCAACTTTCTATGTTGGGTATTGAACCCTGAAACTGGTGTGTGTGGAAATCAGCCACTACAGGGCTCCGGTCAGAGCACACGCAGTCACCAGTTCGTTCATAGTCTTTACTGCCAGAATGAGTATATTATAAACTATGCAGTATGATGGTGCATGACAGATCAGTTTCTGAAATAAACACAGAAACAGAATTGAGTTATTACTGATAACATTAATATATGCGCTTAATTACTATAAATGCATACCTGTATATACATATATGTAAGTCATAAACACTAACAGTGAACCACTACATTTCTAAAGTGACAACAAAGCCATGTTACACTTCCACAAGACAGCCAAGCTAGCTAAGCTGGCCAGTTAGCTCAACACACAGCTAATACTGTAACAGACTAGTTGCTGGAACAACTCCTCACTGATATTGCAGGAGTTCATCAAACACACTGAACAGAAATCTGGAGTGAGAACTACGATATATCACCACATTAATCTCACAGTAGCATTAAGTATAACTTACATCGTCAGTGACTTCTGCACCAATAACGGCATAAAAGAAATGCGCGAAAAGAGGGAAAACGACCGTTCTCTACTTTCAAAATAAGAGTTGTGGTTTCAAAATAAAAGTCTCTGAACATGAAGAATTCTATTTTCACCATTTCACAACCTCAATTCCTGGTATTCCTCTGTCTTTCCCAATTATTTTTGTGCCTTTCTGTTATAACAGTAAAAAAAAAAGCATTTTGGTGTTTCACAAAAAAAATGCCAGATGTACCTAATTCACTGCACACTCAGTGTTTGTATATATATTTATTTAATCCATACGTTATGTATTTGTTATTAGCAACTCTGAAGTGTCAAGTGTGTAAACTTTGATTATCTTTTCAGGTGGAGCTGTCACTTGAGCAGCCATACATAAGGGAGACACAGTGCAACTGCAAAGCTGGCTTGAGACAGTGCAACCATCTCATCGGGCTCCTCTATACTCTGGCTCACTTTGTCAAGATGGGCTACACGTCTGCCCCCCCAATGACTAGCAAGACGTCATTGCCTGAAGCCTGGCACATTCCATCAAGGGCCCTGGGTGTCAGTCCAAGAATGGTGAGCTGTAAGTGTTTTCAAAGCTGAAACCACCAGTGACCAACGCACCCCCGCCAAAGAGGCAACGCTCTTCTGAAGGGGTGATGTCGAATCTGTACTGCCCTGTGTTCCATCATCTGCCTTTGCAGAGAGCCTATACTAAAACCTGAGTGCAATACAGAGCAAGAGTCAGATGTTCAAGCTGCTGGAGGAGAACAGAAAGCAGTCTGCTGCTCTTGTCCCCACCGACTTTGGAGACCTTCCAAAGGGATCTGTGCTTACCTACCACACAGCACAGTCTACCAGGGCTGGTGATGATCCCCCGTTTCCTCTACCATCACAGCCATGCTCATTCAGCACAGTTCTGGATGACACTGAGGCGTGCTTCTATGGTGCAGACATGAAAACGGGTCAGGGGTGAAAAAGGTGAGAAGGATATAACCCCTCTAAGGGGGTCCGCGGCATGCTTAGATTTAAATAACATACTACTAATTTTGGACTAGGCGGTAAATGTCAACAACCTGGCTCTCTGCCTTAATCTATCTACTAAAACTTGAACTTGCTAGTTCTAGCTAGCCTGGTTAGCGATACAATATCAAAGCACCAGCTATCTGAAAACTTACCTTAAAATTACGACCAGGATCCCTTCTGATATTTTTTATCCACTCTCAACGTAGTCCCTTATCCTCTGGAAAACGGTGAAATGTTTGCCCTCTGTTGGATTTTTTCCTGTGTGACGAAGTGCACTGGGGAACACAGCAGTGCGGCGCCATTGCCGCTAAGAGAAATCGCAACGAGAGAGTTCCCGGAAGTGGTAGGTGTACCCCTCAAGCTCCTTAGAACGTTCGAGGTGAATAAGGCAAATTTAACACTTACTTTAACAAAAACATATTCCTCATAACCTCTGGTAACATTCAGGTAAGCCAGTATTTGTTGCAGTTAAGGGGAAAAAAGAATAAAAGTCTTTAACCACATTAGCAGCCCAGTGAGGCTGAAATTCCCATTACACACATGGAAAGGAAAATGTTGAGTGGATAAACTACCAAAATCAGATTGGTTTATGTTTTGTTTCAAGACATCGTAATTCAACAGTCTACCAGGGTCTGAAATGAAGATTTTACTGTGGCAGGTCACTGAACATTTCTCCAAGCCACTCTTTTTGTCTAGACTTTAGAATTGTAAACACAGTAGAAATATGGAATATATCATGTATCCATAATCCCTATTCTTGAGAATGATTTTATTTATCACTACAAGAAAAAAAGCAGCCATGGTGGCATGTGAGCTGAAAAAAAACCTGCTCTTAACCTGTATTTGGCAGGTGCTGAGTCAATCCACTGAGCTGTCAGACTGCCTCATCTTCCACTGGTTACTGTAGGGGCTATATTATGTCTCATTAGACTTAGTATATGGAATAATGTTATCATGCTAACAGCATACTGACCCCACTAAGGGTCTAAGAAGCATGTTAATATATATTGCTTGCATATTAAAGGTCCAGTGTGTAACATTTTGGAGGATTTACTGGCAGAAATGGGATATTATATTCACAGGTAGGTTTTCATTAGTGTATAATCATCTTAATGCTAATATTAAGCCTGCTATTAAACCCTAACTGAATTAAAGATTGTTCAGAACCTAATGTTAACATACTGATATGAACACTAAATTGAATTGACGAACACTTTATTAAACTTATGCAGAATGTGTTTTACCTCCACTGAGTTCTGAGCTTCACTCATCTTGGTAACCGTGGTTTGAAACTCTCCTATGAAGTCGTGGCCTCCATCATTATCGTAGTCGTAACACAGACCTGGTAATGAGCAGAAGGACAGGTGTAATTCAGTGTCAGGGTGTTGACATTTAATGGCCACCATCTCCGGTGTATCAGTCCAATGACCATTCAAAAATGCCTTTAATAATCACTCAAATTCAAAAGTGGCGTATAGTGACCTAGTCTAATGGTGGATAAACACACTATGCAGTGTGTTCTGTGTGAGTCACACTGGAGAGTATCATGGCCAGTGAGTTCTAGTCTTCCAACAACCTGGTTTCAAGGACCCAGAGCAAATAACATGACTCTCACAGTGCTCTTACAGACACCCACGCTCTCTGATCTGTCTGTGTGATGTACCAGCTATTTTTTGGGGAGATGAGAACTCATCACTTGTAAAGCCCAAAGCTGGATTGACTTGCAAAAAGTAGTTGAGAATGAGGAAAATGAAGTTAAAGTGTTCAAACGTTAACAATCTATAATAATCAAGCGTGAATCCAATGGACGTGAGGGGTCACTCATAGTGCTGTAATCAAAGTGAGACAACTCTGCAGCTTTACTGAGCCTCTTGGCCCCTTTTAAAACTTTGTTTTGATTTTACAGTACATTTACCATTTGGGTCAGTCTCTCAATAGTGTACTCTCACCAAACCCTGACATTGAAAGAATGGTTCACCATCACAAAAAATGATTCTGCAAATGATGCTACATGATGAAGGCTACATAAGACTGCGCTTCACAGTATTACACAGCTAAAGATGGGATTTTAAACACCACAGATTTTGGCATCCCCACTGTACGTGGTAAAAAAATCACGTTGAATGTGAGTTCTCACTTGCAGTGTTACAGGCGTATATCTGTGTCCATAACACGTGTTGAGATTAGTATGAGGATTTGGAGATCGGAGGGAAAAAAGAAAAAATCAAAAGGAATTTAGGAAATAGCCCAAGTAGTCAGCTAACTGGGTGCCACGTCATTTACCTAGCTGAGATCCATATTCCTGTAGTCTTATCATGTTCTTTAAAGCCTCTCTAACACCAGGTTTAGCTGCTATCATATTTCTCCATCATTTCTCTTTCATTCACCTCTTGCCCTGTCTCACTTCTACTTCTGTCGCTCATTCACATTTTCACCTCGGTCTTTTTCTTCTCTTTCTTCTCTTTCTCTCACTAATTTCCCCCTCACCCTCTCTTTCCCTGCACCCTTTTCTCATCTCCCTCTCTCACACCTCCTTGCTCTCACTCTCTTACCCTCTCTTACCGTCTCTCTCCCCTTCCCCCAATGAACCCAGCTGCTTCTCACACCTCTATCTCACAAGGCAGGCAGACAGACAGACAGACAGCGAGACAGAGAGAGACAGAGAGGGGAAGGCTGGTGACAGAGATGAGAAAGACAATCGGAGGACAGAGAAAACAAAGCTAGCAGGAGGGGATCAGAGAAAGTGAGAAAGCCAGGGTGTGAGAGAAACAGCGAGCTGTGGATAATATCTGAGAAAAGGTTTGGGCCTCATTTCGCCTCCTCCATCGTTCCCTCACTCCAGGAGCACTAAGCTTTTGTTTCCCTTCCCGTTGCCATAGTGACCGTTGGCAATTTCAGATCGGAGCCACATGCCCTGCTGACCGACAGCTAGCTACAACCCGAGGCACTCGCCTACACACACACACACAGACACACACAAACACACATACACCAAAGCCAGTTTGCCCTGTAGACCAGCTGTTCGCTGCGAAAAAGCCTTAAAGCAGCTGCCTACACACACCAAAACTTCATCACCATGTTCCTCTTCAGCATCTTCAACTTGTGTTTTAGTCTACACCGTACATCATACATACACTGACATCACATATTTATGTATGCGATTAAAGCCAGGCAAACAAATCTATAGTCAAGTATCAGTTCCCAACAAATCCTGATTTTGATCTTCTCCTATTCCAGTTTATGGGTTGTCGGGGACTGGAGCCTGTCCCAGCACACACTGGGCAAAAGGTGGGATAAACCCCTTGATAGGTTGTTAGTCTATCACAAGGCTAAAACAGCCAAGTATATCCAGCTGCACCCAAAACGTAATGTGGTTTATCTCAACATACCAAACTATAGCTAATGTGAGAATCAACCATGAGAAATAAACAAGAGAATAAAGCTCTCCGACCTAACATGCTCGCTAACAGTCAGTTATCTATAGCTTAGCTCAGTCGCTAACGGGACAACAAGTTCTCATAGTTTATTCAAAAGTTGTATTTGTGCCATTGACTCCTGTCTCATAATGGCCTGCAATCCACTGCTTATTTGTGGAACAGTTTTGACTGTGACAGAGGAGGTTCAACAAAAAAAAAGGAAAACAATTTTGGACTCTCTAGCTCTCCGTACCCTGAAAGGTCAACACTGTCAAGATGGCTTGCTGTTGCTGTCAGCGGCCTAATTCACATGTTAAAGTTCACCAAGGTTGAACTGTACACAAAACATTTTCTTCTTGATCTGAGCTTCTGCAAAGCAAAGCCATAATAATAAAAAGCATTTTTTATTAACTTTTAAACCACAACCGGTAAGGTCTAAAATCAGTATCTTCAAATGTGCCCTCTATTACTGGATTTCCACCTCTAGGAACTCTGTCAGGGTTTTCTGTTTTATCTATGTCATATCTTCTCAACCTGCTTCTCCATCCGAACGTTCCCTCTGCCTAATCAA